GTTATGGAAAATGCCTATTTTCTTTCCTAATCATTCATATAAGTTCTTTATTACATAATCTCTCTTTTACTTGCCGAATCTACATATTTTGCTGTATTAATAAACCATTTTTATATTTTTTGCAAAAGTGTAGCGTAATCAGTTTTCTTCCAAACAATCGTCAAATTTTAGCACTTCACATTATTTTCTTCTATTTCCTACAATTTCAAATCTTTATAGCAGTATTAAAGGTATAAACATACATGCGATGGTGACTGGATGGTTCACCGCATTGCTGTAGGCAATATCTTCGCGATTTTCCTTTTTACGTTTCACAGCAGCTAGCTGTTTGTCCAAATCCGAATGGAACGCAAGGCGAGCGACACGAGTTGTGGCCCGACTGTCACCTGTGGTTTCACGTTGATTTAGCGACAAGATGGATCTATGCTCATTTGGTGCATAAAAGCTCACTTCCTTAACGATAGGGTATACGATAGGTGGCCGTGTGCTTGTGCTTAAGAAAAAACCTAAGCTAGCTGTAGTGCGATTTATAGTGATTTTTGGCGTATTTTTCAAAGTTGTGCGCCTAGTCAATAATCTCGTGGTTAGCGTAGCATTCACTCGTAAATGAAAGTTAGGTTTACGAGAAAACTTTAGTGGAGTGAGAAAATGAACATTACGAGGATGAACCACGGTGAAAGGAGCTTGTGGTGGATCTGAATGTGCTAGAGGATCATCGGCTGCTATGTTTGACATATTGGAGTGGAAAATTTCGGATGCACTAATTGACGATGGATCAGTAGGCCCACTGGACATCGGTGAGAACGGCGCTGACACCGTCTGTATCTTGTGAGCACAAGCTTTCTGACATTCCTGAATAATAAAAGATTTTGAGTTTTCAAACATTATCTAATCTCACTTTATTTTATTAATGTTAAATCTTAAGTTTAAAAATAGCTTAGCTTTGCAGGGCTACCCGTCTAGGAAAACTTATGAAAGGAATTTTTTTTATTATTTATGAAAATATTTTGAGTTGAATGCATGGTTATCTCTCTTGGGGCAGCGGACCCTTAACAATTTGGACAGAGACATGTTTTTGTTTTGCTAAGTTCTGTTTATAATATTATCAATATCCTATTCCAAACTTGAAGCACGGGTTAGATTTCATCAACTTTTGATTAAAACAATAATTACCCCAATTCCAATGACCAATCTCCCTCAACCTAGAAAAAAAAAACAATTTTGCCTAAATACGGATGAACTTACCGCCAAGTTCATCCAAAGATTCTTGTTTTCTGTAGTACATCCC